TGGTCATGGTGCCTGGAGTCTGTACAGTTGCAAGAAAAAGTATATGAACCCTTTGGAATGATATGGATTTCTGGACAAATTGGTCATAAAATGTGATCTGATCATCATCTAAGTCACAACAATAGACAATCACAGTCTGCTTAAACTAATAACAGGCAAATAATGAAATGTTGCCATGTTTTTATTGAACACACCATGTAAACATTCACAGTGCAGGTGGAAAAAGTATGTGATCCCCTAGACTAATGACATCTCCAAGAGCTAATTGGAGTGAGATGTCAGCCAACTGAAGTCCAATTAATGAGATGAGAGTGGAGGTGTGGGTTACAGCTGCCCTGCCCTATAAAAAAGACACACTAGTTCTGGGTTTGCTTTTCACAAGAAGCATTGCCTGATGTGAATGATGCCTCGCACAAAAGAGCTCTCAGAAGACCTACGATTAAGAATTGTTGACTTGCATAAAGCTGGAAAGGGTTATAAAAGTATCTCCAAAAGCCTTGCTGTTCATCAGTCCACGGTAAGACAAATTGTCTGCTGCTACTCTCCCTAGGACTGGCCGTCCTATAAAAATGACTGCAAGAGCACAGCGCAGACTGCTCAATGAGGTGAAGAAGAATCCTTGAGTGTCAGCTAAAAACTTACAAAAGTCACTTGCAAATGCTAACATCCCTGTTAGCAAATCTACAATACGTAAAACACTAAACAAGAATGGATTTCCTGGGAGGATACCACAGAGGAAGCCACTGCTGTCCAAAAAAAAATTACTGCATGTTTACAGTTTGCACAAGAGCACCTGGATGTTCCACAGCAGTACTGGCAAAATATTCTGTGGACAGATGAAACCAAAGTTGAGTTGTTTGGAAGAAACACACAACACTATGTGTGGCGAAAAAAAGGCACAGCACACCAACATCAAAACCTCATCCCAACTGTGAAGTATGGTGGTGGGGGCATCATGGTTTGGGGCTGCTTTGCTGCGTCAGGGCCTGGACGGATTGCTATAATCGAAGGAAAAATGAATTCCCAAGTTTATCAAGACATTTTGCAGGAGAACTTAAGGCCATCTGTCTACCAGCTGAAGCTCAACAGAAGATGGGTGTTGCAACAGGACAATGACCCAAAGCATAGAAGTAAATCAACAACAGAATGGCTTAAACAGAAGAAAATACGCCTTCTGAAGTGGCCCAGTCAGAGTCCTGACCTCAACCCGATTGAGATGCTGTGGCATGACCTCAAGAAAGCGATTCACACCAGACATCCCAAGAATATTGCTGAACTGAAACAGTTCTGTAAAGAGGAATGGTCAAGAATTACTCCTGACCGTTGTGCACGTCTGATCTGCAACTACAGGAAACGTTTGGTTGAAGTTATTGCTGCCAAAGGAGGTTCAACCAGTTATTAAATCCAAGGGTTCACATACTTTTTCCACCTGCACTGTGAATGTTTACATGGTGTGTTCAATAAAAACATGGCAACATTTCATTCTTTGTGTGTTATTAGTTTAAGCAGACTGTGATTGTCTATTGTTGTGACTTAGATGATGATCAGATCACATTTTATGACCAATTTGTCCAGAAATCATTCCAAAGGGTTCACATACTTTTTCTTGCAACTGTATGTGCAGCATTCCATTTCAAACTTTGCACATGCAGAGGTTAACGTCTTAGCTGCCAGAGGTGTAACTAGATTTGGGAGATGTCATAACATTTTGCCTTGGGCTGAAGCTCCTGGATTTTTTGCCACATAACAATGCTCCTGCCTGAATCCTTCCAGAGCACCTACTTTACCCTCCCTTTGTATAACTTTTTAGAGCAAGAGTATATTTGAGTCAAGATCCATAGTCTCCTTTCAGGGGAAAGGGCTTGGAGCTATGGCTTTCATAGCCCCTATGTCAATCCAACTCTAACACTATTAGAGAGAGTTAGAGTCATTGTTCCTTAACATTAACAGTGTGCCTCTGGTTCACCCTTGGTGACTTCAGTTAGAGGAGACACGTTACATAGACTTGCAGCAATAGCAGTTGCTTAGAAAGTAGTCCTTCACTTTTTCCCTTGCAGTTGGAGGTAAATCATAGCAATTATATAATGTTTCGGTATTAATTGTTATTACTTCAATAGATGCAGATATAAGCATAACCTTTCCAGATACCAATGCTTAGAAGACATAGGTGTTCATGGAATGGGATGGATTGCTCTCCATGCATTTAGTATACTGCCTACTTAACTATTCTACATACAGTTGTAATTAAAACTATTTAACCACCATTGAAAATCAGGTTTATTGTCGGAATTTAAAGATTTTCTGCTCTTTGCAATAAACAAATCAAACAAAAGCAATTGAAATAGTTCAACACAACAAATGCTTCACATGGTTTCCCCAGATTCAACTGAAAATGCAACTTATAATGACTTTTCCAGTCTCAAAATTATTCAACCCCTTCACAGCCAGCATCTTTAGTACATAGTAGAGCATCCTTTTGCTGTTATGACCGGCTGCAAACATGATGAATAGCAAGACACCAGCTTCTGGCAGCGTTCCTGAGGAATCGTAGCTCATTACTCATGAGCAATGGCCTCCAGTTCAGTAATAGTCTTGGATTTGCATACAGCAACTTTAAATCCTTCTTTAAATCCCACCAGAGATTTTCCATGAGGTTCAACATAGGTAACTGATGTCCACTGTAGACTTTTCCAGGACTTCTGCTGCAACCAAGCCTTGGTTGAACTTGAGATATGCTTGGGATCATTCTCTTGTTGTAAGGTCCAATGACATTCAAGCTTGAGCTTCATCACAGACCGCATGACATTTTCTCTTAGGATTTCCTGATACTTCAATGAATCCATCTTGCCTTTCACTTGCTGCAGTTTTCCAGTGCCAGAGGATGCAAAGCAGCCCCAGAGCATCACCGAGCCACCACCATGCTTAACTGTAGGCAGAGTGTTCTTTTCAGCATATGTTTCATTCTTCTTCCTCCAGACATACTGCTGATCAATTGGGATGAAGAGTTACATTTTGGTTTAATCGTTTCACAGAGCAGAATCCCAAAACATCTGTGGCTTATTTATATTATTTTGAGCATATTGGATCAGGCTTTTCTTGTGCTTTTGGATCAGTAGTGGTGTATGTCTTGGAGTTCTGGCATGGAAACCTTCTTCGTTTCGAATGTGCCTTACTGTGCTCAATGAAACCTCAGTGCCTGCTGCCACCAGGTCTTTCTGCAGGTCTTTTGCAGTCACTCGAGGGTTTTTCACAACCTGCCTGATCGGAAATCTGGTTGCAGCCATTGATAGCTTTCTATTTCTGCCCCATCCAGGTAGTGTAACCACTGTTCCTTCAATAATTGAATAATCTTGAGACTGAAGAAGTCATTAGAAGTTGCATTTTTAGTTGAATTTGGAGAAACCACTTGAAGCGTTTGTTGTGTTGAGCTATTTCACTTGCTCTTGTTTGATTTGTTCATTGCAAACATCTGACAATAAACCTGATTTGCGGTGGAGGTTGAACAATTTTGCTTACAATTGTATACACTCTATTGTGACACTATTCTCTTTTGTACAAAAGTACATTTCGTAAATACACTCAGGTCATGGAGTGCATCACGCATTCTCACTTTCAGTCTATCTGTATAATGCAAATACACATATCATATTACTGATGCATTACAGCCTAAGCCTTACCTGTAGCAGATTAATTTTAAGACATTTTGAATTTAAAATGTTAAGCTGGACCCATATAGCTGCCAGCCTGCTGCTTTCCAGCCTTTCATTGAACTATAAGTAGCAATACCACGTGCCACTTTTTGGCCAAGTGTGATGAGAGCTGTACGTCTACAGTACCTGGAATGTTGAGACATGTTGGCTACCACTACAATGCTTCTATTATTGAATCATAATTCCCCTAATCTTCACTTGCCCTTGGAGTAACATGTTGACCAAAAATCACTGTAGTTGTAGGTGCCAATGTGTCCAAAAAGTTTTGTAGTCCCTTTATAGGAAACAAGCACATTAAAAGAAAAAAGCATTAATAATTATAACTATAATCAGCAATCTACTAATTTATACTGTAAATTGATTTATTTATTTTTTTAGGGAAAAGCAGATCAAAAAGCATTAGCGTAAAGTTTTGTGTTTACCATTATATCTTATGACAAATTTTCTTCTTAACTGCCATCACAATTTACCTGCAGGGCATAACATCTTTGATATTGTTAATAGACAAAATGAAAGAGCCAAGAGTGAATGCAAAATGATATGAGAATGATAAAAAGATAGAACCACAAAGCACTTGACTTTTAGAGACAAGAGCCCGGGGCTCATACAATACTGTACAAATTAAATGTTTAGGATTTGCATCGAAGCGCCATGTCAGACATTCAGGCTGAGGCGTAAGAAGAATGGAAATGAATTATCCTGATTTGCACTGAACCGTGAAGCTGCTGCACTCAAAATACACATAATGCTGGAACAAAAAGGAAAGAACAGCTTTAGAAACATTCCTCCTTATTCAGGGCATAGCAAGTTTTACCACAAATCAGGATCACAAAATGATCTTTCAGCTAAAAAAAACTGAAGCAAATGTTCTCTTTTTTGATAGAGAGAGATAGGAGATAAGGGGAAAGAGAGAGATACGGGGAAAGAGAGAGATACAGGGAAAGAGAGAGAGAGAAAGAAAGAAAGAAAGAAAGAAAGGAAAAAGGAAAAGAGAGAGAGAGAGAGATAAAGAGAGAGAAAAAAGGAAAAGAGAGAGAAAGAAAGAAAGAAAGAAAGAAAGAAAGAAAGGAAGAAAGGAAGAAAAAAGGAAAAGAAAGAGAGACAGAGAGAGAGACAGACAGACAGAGAGAGAAAGAAGATAGAGAGAGAGAAAGAAAATGAAAGAAAAAAGGAAAAGAAAGAGAGTGAGAGAGAGAGAAAGAAAGAAAATGGAAAAGAGAGAGAGAGAGAAAGAAAGATGGAAAAGAGAGAAAGAAAGAAGAAAGGGAAAGAGAGATAGAAAAAGAAAAAATGAAGAGAGAGAGAAAGGGAAAAGAGAGAGAAAGAAAGAAAGAAAAAAGGATATATAGAGAGAGAGAAAAAAGAAAGAAAGAAAAGAGAGACAGACAGAGAGAGAGAAAGAAAGAAAAAAGAAAAAGAGAGAGAGAGAAAGGAAAAGAAAGAGAGACAGAGAGCAAGAGAGAGAGAAAGAAAATGGAAAAGAGAAAGAAAGAAAGATGGAAAAGAGAGAAAAAGAAAGAAAGAAAGAAAGATAGAAAGAGAGAGAGAAAGAAAGAAGAAAGGAAAGAGAGAGAGAGAAAGAAAAATGGAAAAAAGAGAGAAAGAGAGAGTGAAAGCGAGAGAGAGAGAGGGAGAGAGAGAGAAGGAAAGGAAAAGGAAAAGAAAGAGAGAGAGTGAGAGAGAGAAAGAAAATGGAAAAGAGAGAGAGAAAAAGAAAGATGGAAAAGAGAGAAAGAAAGAAAGAAAGAAAGAAGGGAAAGAGAGATAGAGAAAGAAAAAATGAAGAGAGAGAGAAAGGGAAAAGACAGAGAGAAAGAAAGAATAAAGAAAGAAAGAAAAAAGGGAGAGATAGATATGTAGAGAGCGAGAAAAAGAAAGAAAGAAAAGAGAGACAGACAGACAGAGAGAAAGAAAAAAGGAAAAGAAAGAGAGAGAGAGCGAGAGAGAGAGAAAGAAAGAAAAAAGGATAAGAACGAGAGAGAGAGAAAAGACAGAAAGAAAAGAGAGAGAGTGAGAGAGAGAGAAAGAAAGAAAAAAGGAAAAGAACGAGAGAGAGAGAAAAAGAAAAATGGAAAAGAGAGAGAGAAAGAAAGAAAAATGGAATGAGAGCGAGAAAAAGAAAAAATGAAAAGAGAGACAGAGAGAGAGAGAAAGGTAAAAGAGAGATAGATAGATAGAGAGAGAGAGAAAGAGAGAAAGAAAGAAAGAAAAAAGGAAAAGAGAGAGAAAAAGAAAGAAAGAAAGAAAGAAAGAGAGAAAGAAAGAAGGAAAGAGAAAAAGGAAAAGAAAGAGAGAACGAAAGAAAGAAAGAAAGAAAGAAAGAAAGAAAGAAAAATGGAAAAGAGAGAGAGAAAGAAAAAATGAAAAAGAGACAGAGAGTGAGAAAAAGGAAAATAGAGACACAGAGAGAGAGAAAGAAAGAAAAAGGGAAAAGAGAGAGAGAGAAAGAAAGAAAAAATGAAGAGTGAGAGAGGTAAAAGAGAGATAGAGAGATAGAGAAAGAAAGAAAGAAAGAAAGAAAGAAAAATGGAAAAGAGAGACAGAGAGAGAGACAGAGAGAAAGAAAGATAGAAAGAAAAAGAAAGAAAGAAAGAGGAAAAGAAAGAGAGAGAGAGCGAGAGAGAGAAAGAAAGAAAAATGGAAAATAGAGAGAAAGAAAGAATGAAAGAAAGAAAAAAAGAAAGGAAAAGAAAGAGAAAGAAAAAATGAAAAGAGAGACAGAGAGAGAGATAAAAAGGAAAAGAGAGACACAGAGAAAGAGAGAGAAAGAAAAAGGGAAAAGAGAGAGAGAGAGAAAGAAAGAAAAAATGAAGAGAGAGAGGTAAAAGAGAGAGAGAGAGAAAAAAAGGAAAAGAGAGATAGAGAGAAAGAAAGAAAGAGAAAGAAAGAAAAAAGCAAGAGAGACAGAGAGAGAGACAGAGAAAGAAAGAAAGAAAAAAAGAAGGAAAAGAGAGAGTGAGAAAAAGAAAAAAGGAAAAGAACGAGAGAGAAACAGCAAGAGAGAGAAAGAAAGAGAAATGGAAAAGAGAGAGAAAGAAAACTGAAAAGAGAGACACAGAGAGAGAGAAAAAAAAGGGAAAAGAGAGACACAGAGAGAGAGAAAAGGGAAAAGAGAGACACAGAGAGAGAAAGAAAGAAAACGAAAGAGAGAGAGAGAAAGAAAGAAAGAAAAAAAGAATAGAGAGATAGATAGAGAGTGAGAGAGAAAGAAAGAAAGAAAGAAAAAAAGGGAAAGAGAGAGAGAAAGAAAGAAAGAACGAAAGAAAAAAGGAAAATAAAGAGATAGATAGATAGATAGATAGATAGATAGATAGATAGATAGATAGATTCTATGTGCTACAAAAATCACAAAATATTTATTTTATTTTTGCTGGCAAATGATGTAGCCCTTAATTCCAAAATGTACCACCCAAAATAGGCATTCCTATTACCATATAGGAATGCTCCTGCTTCAGAATACAGAAACTAAGACAGGTGGAAGCATTGCAATATATGATGAAAAGTTATGTTTTTTCGTCTGCTGATTAATAGCCCTTCTCCCCAAAGCAGATGTATTGCAGCATAGATAACATAAAGAACCAGTCCACCCAGTCATACATCTTTTCAGCAGAAGAGGAGAAGAAGCGGGTTGTTTTCACAGGGGATATTAATTAAAAATGGCCTTAGTTAAAAGTTTTTTTGAAAGCTGATGCTCCCAAAACATAGTTAAATGACCAAAATGTGTTTTGTTTTTTTATTTCGGCAATTGTCAGACATGTAAAAGTACGCAGTGCAGTAATAACCCATTCCCGACCGTGGACGGAAATTTTCCGTCAACCTTGTCCTTCAGTTAAGGACCGTTGACGGAAAATTTCCGTCATTTTCTTAAGTTAACCCCAGATCGCCGCGATCACGGCAATCGCGGGGTTAACGGTGCTCCGGTCTGCCTCTGCATTAGAGGCAGACCGGGAGCACCCGATCGGGCTGCCCCAGCACCGGTGCTCGCTCTGACAGCATGTCAGAGCGAGCACATGTGCTCCACATACTCACCTTCCGCCTCCCTGCACTTCCGGGTTCTGTGTGAAGTGCAGGGAGACGGATCAGTGCTGATCTGCTTCCCTGTGTAAAAAAAAAAAAAAAATTAAAGTTAAATCCCACCCCCCCTGCCCCTGTTTTAATAAAATTAACCCCTTCCCTGCCAATTGATCACTGACTACAGTGATCAATTGGCAGGGTATACATTTTAATGTCATCTGATTTTTTTTTTTTAACCCCTGAGGGTTAATTATTTTTTTTTTAACCCTCAGGGGTTAAATTTATTTTATTAATTAATTTAAATATTAAAAAATTATATATTTAGCTAGCTGGGATGGGTGGAAGTTAGTGGGGAATTGGGGAATTTGGTGTTAGGCTAACTAGGGGTTAACGTTAAAAAAAGTTTTAAAATAAGCTTTAAAAAGGTAAAAAAAAATTTTTTTTAAATGTTTTAGTAACGTTTAAGTAAAAAAAAAAAAAATACCACCCCCTTTACCCAGTCTAAATAAAAATTAACCCCTTCCCTGCCAGCTGATCACTGCCTACAGTGATCAAAATACAGATCACAGTATTATACTGTGATCTAATTTTTTTAACCCCTGAGGATTAATTTTTATTTATTTTTTTTAACCCTCAGGGGTTCCATTTATTTAATTAATTAATTTAAATATTTTATAATTAAATATTTTGCTAGCTGGGGTGGGTGGGAGTTATGGGAAAATGGGGAATTTACGGTTAGTGCTGCTTACTGCTAGTTAGGGGTTAACGGTAAAAGAAAAGTTTAGAAAAAAATTAAAAGTGTAAAAAAAGTTAAGATAGTGTAAAACATTTAATAAGTAAAAAAAAAAAGTTTAAAAATGGGTTTTACAAAGTAAAAAAAGTTTTACAAAGTAAAAAAATACATTTAAAAATGCTCATTACCACTACACTTGGTACAAGCTAGCGGAAATATTATCCCACGCTAAGGTTCAAAATATGCCTTTTGAATTACCCTGGGATGTCTTCTTTAAGAAATGATATGCCTTTATGGTGTAATTGGATGATATAGCCTTGTAAAATACTCTAAAATGGGACATGGACACAGCGTAAAAATTCAAAGTTTGGAAAAAACTGGAATGGCTGTGTCTCAAATGTGCCCCTTCAATGTCCACATATACCTGGCAAAGGTACATACGGGGGTATTGCTGTACTCAGCGACATAGCTGAACAACATATGAAGTAGTATACAGTCGTAGTACACATAAGGTTTGCAAAATATACTGCGCAAACTCACTTTGTGTGTCAAAAAGGCAGAAAAAATGCTTATTACCACTACACTTGGTACAAGCTAGCGGAAAAATTATCCCACGCTAAGGTTCAAAATAGGCCTTTTGAATTACCCCGGGATGTCTTCTTTAAGAAATGGTATGCCTTTATGGTGTAATTGGATTATATAGCCTTTTAAAATACTCTAAAATGGGACATGGACACAGCGTAAAAATTCAAAGTTTAAAAAAAATGGAATGGCTGTGTCTCAAATGTGCCCCTTCAATGTCCACATAAACCTGGCAAAGGTACATACGGGGGTATTGATGTACTCAGCCGACATAGCTGAGCAACATATGAAGTAGTATACAGTCGTAGTACACATAAGGTTTGCAAAATATACTGCGCAAACTCACTTTGTGTGTCAAAAAGGCAGAAAAAATGCTTATTACCACTACACTTGGTACAAGCTAGCGGAAAAATTATCCCACGCTAAGGTTCAAAATATGCCTTTTGAATTACCCCGGGATGTCTTCTTTAAGAAATGGTATGGCTTTATGGGGTATTTGGATTATATAGCCTGGTAAAATACTCTAAAATGGGACATGGGAACAGTGTAAAAATTTAAAGTTTGAAATGAACTGGAATGGCTGTGTCCCAAATGTGCCCCTCCGATGTCCACATATACCTGGCAAAGGTACATACGGGGGTATTGATGTACTCAGCCGACATAGCTGAGCAACATATGAAGTATTATACAGTCGTAGCACACATAAGATTTGCAAAATGTACTGCGCAAATTTACTTTGTGTGTCAAAAAGGCAAAAAAACGCTTATTACCATTACACTTGGTACAAGCTAGCGGAAAAATTATCCCACGCTAAGGTTCAAAATATGCCTTTTGAAATACCCTGGGATGTGTTCTTTAAGAAATGGTATGCCTTTATGGTGTAGTTGTAATATGTAGCCTGCTCAAGTGCTCCAAAGTGGGCACGGACGCATCAAAACCCTCCATGAAAATTCACACTTAAAAACCTTAACTTGTTACGTCTCTTTTATAGCAGTGTAACTTCACAAAATAGTGTCTAGGTCATACATTGGGCATATTGTTTTACTCAGAAGACTTAGCTGAGCATAATTTGGGGGTTTGAACTTAGTGGCACATATGAAATGTACAAAATGCCCAGCAAAAATGTAATCCGTATGTAAAAAATGCCCAAAATTATTTTTTACCACATACTTTGGCATATATTGGTGAAAAAATGGGGGCATGTTAAGGCACAATATGCACCATATGAGATACCCTGGAGTGTCTACTTTTATAAATGGTAGGCCTTTGTGGTTTTTTTTTGAACAGTCAAACTGCTATAATACCCCAAATTGAAGCATAGGCCCATTAAATCCGCCTCTCAAAATTC